GTCTATAGTCTAGTCTATAGTCTAGTCTATAGTCTAGTCTATAGTCTAGTCTATAGTCTAGTCTATAGTCTAGTCTATAGACTAGACTATAGTCTAGTGTATAGTGTAGTCTATAGTCTAGTCTATAGTCTAGTCTATAGTCTAGTCTATAGTCTAGTCTATAGTCTAGTCTATAGTATAGTCTATAGTCTAGTCTATAGTCTAGTCTATAGTCTAGTCTATAGTCTAGTCTATAGTCTAGTCGATAGTCTTGTCTACAGTCTAGCCTATAGTCTAGTCTATAGTCTAGTCCATAGTCTAGTCTATAGTCTAGTCCATAGTCTAGTCTATAGTCTAGTCTATAATCTAGTCTATAGTCTAGTCTATAGTCTAGTCTATAGTCTAGTCTATAGTCTAGTCTATAGTCTAGTCTAGTGTATAGTGTAGTCTATAGTCTACAGTGTAGTCTCTAGTCTATAGTGAAGTCTATAGTCTAGTCTATAGTCTATTCTATAGTATAGTCTATAGTCCATTCTATAGTCTAGTCTATAGTCTAGCCTGTAGTATAGTCTATATTCTAGTCTATAGTCTAGTGTATGGTGTAGTCATAGTCTAGTCTAGTCTATAGTCTAGTCTATAGTCTAGTCTATAGTCTAGTCTATAGTCTAGTCTATAGTCTAGTCTATAGTCTAGTCTATAGTCTAGTCTATAGTCTAGTCTATAGTCTAGTCTATAGTCTAGTCTATAGTCTAGTCTATAGTCTAGTCTATAGTCTAGTCTAGTCTAGTCTAGTCTATAGTCTAGTCTATAGTCTAGTCTATAGTCTAGTCTATAGTCTAGTCTATAGTCTAGTCTATAGTCTAATCTATAGTCTAGTCTATAGTCTAGTCTATAGTCTAATCTATAGTCTAGTCTATAGTATAGTCTATAGTCTAATCTATAGTCTATTGTTTAGTCTATACTCTAGTCATGCTTCTTTTTAAAATGGGTCTTTCTGAATGACTTTATGTTCCCAAACGTGGTCGGATCAGAACTCACAAGCTTCCTCGTAGCTATGATTTTAATTGAGTAATGACATCCCTTTCCAGAAACTTAACAATATGTTTAAAATTCTAAGGTGATCTTGAAAATGAAAGGCCCTTTTTTAATTCGACTAACTTAAACCCACCTCCCCCTTCTCTGCTTACGATATACGGATTTTGTCGGTATATTTATTCTGTCTTTTTTATGGTCCATGCAAATGGTAATAGGAAACAAGTTGTTAAATAAAAGTATCGGTATCGTTTTTGTTTTTTTTTTTCTTCCCCAAGACAATCTACCAAATTTAAGACATCATCAATTGTTTTACATTTTTTTGGGCAGATTTTAGACAGCCGTGTGTTTTATATATGTATGTATGAATCGCGGGTGCGATTTAAATGCCACCCGTATTGAATATTCATTGAAATAATGTTACCCACCACAAAAAAGAAATAATAATGGAATGGTGGAAAAAACACACACATACAAATCAAGGTTGACAAAATACAAATGTTAAATTGGTAAAGTCTTTGAGTTTCTACCGCTTTTACAAAGCCGCCATAACTTCTACGGTTTTTTTTCTCCGTTTCTTCGACGAACATGATCAACAAGATCCTGTTGTCATTTACAGTTGTTAAAACGAACATTTATTTGTTCCTGACTTAGGAGGTTGGGAATAATGTTTTCTTGTATAATAATACTCGATACTGTTCATGATGATGATGATGATGACGTTGATAAGCTGGCGTTACGTTTGACAATTTAAACATGCCATAATCTAAGAAGTTACAGTAGTAATGATGGTGGTCCATATCATTATCACAATACTTCGTGTTCGTTTGTACGTGAAAACATCAATTTCCTTTTGTTCTAATAGAAATTCAGTGATAAGAATATGCTTAACTTGTATAACAACAGCCATCTTATTTTCTTTTAAATATTCTCACTCTCATAGTTGATCGTATTTTTTCTAAATCATCACTAACTTCCAACGCTCTCTCTCTCTCGCAGGTTAAACATAAATTTTGAACTTGTGATTCTGGCCAATAACACACGTAGTCGTTGCTGCTGCTGCCTATGTAATATTTGACTTGGCGCCATCATTTAAGATGCGGCTTTCTATGATCTACTGATAAGTGAACATGAGAATGAAGAAGGTAAAAATGTTGCAAGTTAGTTAGGAGTTCTTCTTAGTTAGTGTAAGATCGCTTGTTTTAATGTTTGTCAGTGTACAGGTTGTTTTGCGGTTGCCGTTGACGATCACCTTGAGTTCTATGTATTTTTAGAGAAATCAACATTGTGTCGTGTAGATTTTTCTAAAAAACATAAATGTCCATTTGATGAAAACAGCTGTAATTGATAATGATTTATAGATTGAGTTTTCAGCTAGGATTGCATAGCAGTGATCGTGTCATCAAGATTTTTTCAGCGATCAGTAAATTTTAATTTGAATTCTTTCAACTGAAATATATAGTCCAATTTCTTGGACTTAAAACGATCGTTTAAACTGATCTATCAGACTTTAAAGATGATTAAGTCAGCAACAAAAGCTTTCAATTATAAATCTTCCTAAAATCCTCAAAAATCTTCCAATTAACTAGAAACATTTTCGAAACCAACATAAGCTTCGAATTCCTTCAAAATATTTTTCACGATCACTAAGCTTCTTTAACATTTCAAATTAAGACAATTTATTTCCCTTAACTTTTCTTAAACACCCTCGTATATTTTTTTCTTCTTTCTCAATAATTAAACCACTGATAAAGTCTAATTAAAAGCACATTGCCTCTGCAAGCGTTTACAACAAATACACTATTTATTATCTAATGCAAAGAAGACGCTTGACGATCCTTTGTTTTGCTTGCATAATAAACTAGTTTCGTTGTACAACAAGTACTATCACTGTAATTAGTAAAAGGTACCAAAAAAGGACATTTAAACAAAACTATGACTTCTAAGTATCTATTGATTACTTCACTTATTTATTATTCAATAAGTATATAAATGATAAAATAAACTAAAGTAAATTAAACTAGTTTTCTTTACGAAAATGAAAGGAAAAAACACAAGAAAATGACTCGCATTTTAATAAGTAACAGAAATTTAAATAAGTAAAATGTTGGGAAATGAAATTTAAATGAGTCATTTGAAAATGGGAAATAATAGCAATAAGATTAGTCATTCACAGAAGTTGTTCGTCCTGAAAGATTTTTGAATAGTGATGGATCAAATAGAAAGCTTTTGGAACAATAATATAAAGTGATCGCGAAACATCAACTTAAAAAGAACACTTCAGAATCTTTCTTAAGAAGAATCTACATATGTATATAAGTGATCGTTGTTATTAACCGATACTTCTCTGTTAAGTTCTAGTTCAGTTCTAGTTTAGTTCTAGTTCAATTCTAGTTCAGTTCTAGTTTAGTTCTAGTTCAGTTCTAGTTCAGTTCTAGTTCAGTTCTAGTTCAGTTCTAGTTCAGTTCTAGTTCAGTTCTAGTTCAGTTCTAGTTCAGTTCTAGTTCAGTTCTAGTTCAGTTCTAGTTCAGTTCTAGATCAGTTCTAGTTCAGCTCTAGTTCAGCTCTAGTTCAGTTCTAGTTCACTTCTAGTTCAGTTCTATTTCAGTTTTATTTCAGTTCTAGTTCAGTTCTAATTCAGTTCTAGTTCAGTTCTAGTTCAGTTCTAGTTCAGTTCTAGTTCAGTTTTAGTTCAGTTCTAGTTCAGTTCTAGTTCAGTTGTAGTTCAGTTGTAGTTCAGTTGTAGTTCAGTGTAGTTCAGTTCTAGTTCAGTTCTAGTTCAGTTCTAGTTTAGTTCTAGTTCAGTTCTAGTTCAGTTCTAGTTCAGTTCTAGTTCAGTTCTAGTTCAGTTCTAGTTCAGTTCTAGTTCAGTTCTAGTTCAGTTCTAGTTCAGTTCTAGTTCAGTTCTAGTTCAGTTCTAGTTCAGTTCTAGTTCAGTTCTAGTTCAGCTCTAGTTCAGCTCTAGTTCAGTTCTAGTTCAGTTCTAGTTCAGTTCTAGTTCAGTTCAGTTCTAGTTCAGTTCTAGTTCAGTTTTAGTTCAGTTCTAGTTCAGTTCTAGTTCAGTTCTAGTTCAGTTCTAGTTCAGTTCTAGTTTAGTTATAGTTCAGTTCTAGTTCAGTTCTAGTTCAGTTCTAGTTCAGTTCTAGTTCAGTTCTAGTTCAGTTCTAGTTCAGTTCTAGTTCAGTTCTAGTTCAGTTCTAGTTCAGTTCTAGTTCAGTTCTAGTTCAGTTCTAGTTCAGTTCTAGTTCAGTTCTAGTTCAGTTCTAGTTCTAGTTCAGTTCTAGTTCAGTTCTAGTTCTGTTCTAGTTCAGTTCAAAATTAGGGCCTGTTTGGATTAAAAAGGATTCCAAAATAGAAACATACTAGCTTTAAAAAACCACGATCATTAAAGTATTATAGTACTGTAATCCAAATATTTTATTGCTCGACATTATGAATACATGAAGCTGTTAAAAAATTACAGTTTTTATTCCCTTAAGAATAAAGTATTCTTAAAAAATGTTCACTAAAATCAACTGATGTATTAAAATTTTAATTTCTTAACACATTTCGAAAACTAAACCAATAATTAAACTTTTAAATTCAGCGAGTTGTTTCACATGCCTACATGCAATGCAATGCTTTTAATCGCCTTAAAGCTTTAATTACTTAAAAGCTCTGTTATTCTTCTGCTAATTATTCTTTTCTTTAACATTTTCCCGTAAAATTTAACAAAAAAACAGTTTGAATTTTATATGGCATTGAGTATAGTTTTCTTTTTTTAAAAAACACACATTTTATTTTAACTTATTACACTAAAAACTTAAACTTAATTAGGTAAATAAATTATTTAGTTATTAACAGTATAAAAAAGTACTTAAAAAGCTAACAAAAAATACAAAATACAAAAAATTTACATAAATTACAAGAGATTTTTAAGATTTTACAAAATAAACATTACAAGAAAATGCTCAGCATCACAAATAGAGAGAGAATTTTCTTATTTTTTTTTAAACAGAGACAGCACTGCGGGTATTGCTACCCAATATGGAGGATATGCTAAAACTACTACGTTTTACAGGCGGCTCACAAACCGACAGTCTTGGTGAGGTGCTGGGGGAGGTGTTGGAGGGCAAAAGAGCGGCAGAATCTTGTGATTCCTCTGAAGAAGTACTAACAACATCTACAAATAGCTCAGGATTATGTTCTTCATGTGAGGAGGAAATTTGACTGGAGGTTTCATCATTCCCCGATGTGTAATCATAATCCGAAGAAGGCTGATGATATGGCAGTCTTTGAGCCGCTAAAGGTTCCATATAAGAGGGCATGGTAGGCATAAACAAGGGCATAGCTTGTTGTGCTAGTTGAGGAAAGAAGGCGGGCGATAACATATCATTCATATTGGGTTGTAGAGCATAACGCATGACATTATTTAAATCCATATAGGGTAAGGGATCCTCGCGCATACATAAGCGCTTAGCTTGTGGTGAATCTTGACTACTGGCCACACTCGATTGATCGTCATCACAATGAGAGGAATTATTTTGATTTTCCTCCGAGGGCGAAGGTGATAGAGACATTTTCCTTTTGCATTTCGATTGTCCAGACTCACGGAAACCTTTGGCAAAGGGATTGTTATCGATTTTCAATTTTGTAATGCGATCATTCTAAAAAGATAGAGGGAGAGGGAGATATAGATAATTAGTAAAAGAGTTAGGAAATGTTTGTAGATTGTAGAGACAACAAAGACACAACGGGAGGTTTGCTAATTTTGTTTTAGAAGACCACCACTGAGTTTTTGTATTTTTTTCTTTAAAAAGAGAATTAGGGTTTAGGTAAAAAATATTTTTTAAAAACCCGTTTTATTGTTCTCTTAGTTTTTTAATAATTATAAAAAAATACCAACCTGATAAGCGGTTACTGCTACAAATTCGGTCTCGGGAAAGACAAAGGCCTGCTGAGGAGCCCAGGGTATTTGCGCCAAATCATTGGTACGTATCACATGTATACGTGGCTGATATTTATGCATACTGGCCAAAACGATCTAAAAATTTTAAGAAAATTTTATAAAATTAATAAAAATTTCTAAGAAAATTTAAAGAAAAGTTTTTAGGCTTTTGTAGAGATACTTACATGACCATTATTATCCAAAGTATTGTTGGTCAATTTGACCTTATTAAAGAGTATGGGTTGAGCTTGCCAATGAGAACCGTTGGCGGGACTGTCGGGATGTAAATACATTCTTTGAGGTGACTGAGGTTCGGCACCACCGGCGGGTACCCATTGAGAACCGGAAAACTTATAACGGCAATCGCCAATGGGTACCATTTCAATCAAAACACAATATTGTGACTCCTCTTCCAAACCCTTAAGAGAAACACGCATAGAGGGGAACATACGTCTGGAAAAAATTTGAAAAAAAAGAAAGTTGTTTAATTATTTATTTTATTTTTATTATTATTTAGTTATCTTAAAAACTTTGTTATCATTTTTTTTGTTTTTTTTAAACTTTATAATTGTTTAGACACCAGAAACTACAGATTTAAGAAGAAAAATCTTTAGTAAACAACAACAAGAAATGTCTATTTAAATTTACTATAAACAATTTACAAATTTCAATGACTGATAACAAGGAGAAAATATGTACATACCTTCCACTTTTGGTGATAATCATTTCGGTGCCAATTTTATGGAATTGTTGCCATAAATCATTATTCTCCAATTTGGCCTCTACACCCGGCAAGGGGGGATGAGAGGGTATTAACATTTGTGCTGGCATATGATGCATGGCGGGCATCATGGCAGCAAATGGATCGGGTATACGTTGCATAATTTGTTGCCGATAAAGTATTTCATGGGCAATTTGTTGTTGCATTCTTAAATCCACTAATTCGTTCATGGTAATCATTTTTTTGTTGTTGTTTTATGTTATTTTTTTTTATTACAAAACTAAATTTTTTGTTGTTAAATAAAAAATTCCTTTAAAATTTTATTCCGTTTATAACTTGTTGCTTGTTTAACGTTTGTACTCAGACTGTTTTAATCATTGACACAACTCTGCTTATTTCCCTCTTAAACAAATCTCAAAAATAAAACACACCAAAAAAAAAAAAAAAAGATCATTTGCCACTCTCTTTGAGTAGAAATCTTAAACACACTTGTTTCAAAAATCAAGTTCTACCTGTTGTTCTCCTACATACACACAATCACTTATATTCACATAATTTACTCCTACTCCCTCTCTCTAATGTAAATAACAAGTAAACTGCTGCTTACTCATTACTCTTATTAAACAGTTGCTTTAATATTTAGTTATCTCTTTCTCTCTTTATGTGTTTACCAGCTAGCAAGCAAACATACACACATACAACAACACTGCTTATGAAATGACTCCATTTTTTAATATTCTACTCAAGTGTCATGAATGATAATCACTTATTATGACATTGTTGTTGTTTTTTTTTGCTTTATTTATTTTACAATGGCTTCGCATGGTTGCTTTTCTTATTATTGTAGTTGTTTGTGTGTTTAAGGCCTGTTTTTTGTTTAAATGTTTGTCTTGTTTCGCTTGTTGTTAAATAATGTACTTTTTTTAAAAACTGTTTATTTTAATTATAGTTTTCTTTTTATTAAAATTGTCGCCTAAAACTAATTGTTTATAGCATCTTTTTAAGCACTTTCTTTAATTCTAAATCTGACACTTGAAATGCAATTGAAATAAAACGGAAATGATTACTTTGGTTGCATATTTATGTAGTATATTATTATCTATTTGAAGATTTAAAAGGATTTAGATTAGTTCATTTCCTGCCTAAGGATACTTTAATTGATTTTACTCTAAATTTTGTAGAAATTTAGAAAAATGTTTCACTAAAGTGGTTTCTTTTTAAAGAAACTGAAAAAGATCAGAAAAAAATCTTTATAAATTTCAATGTCTTCTTTTTTCATATTTAATATTCACTAGAAACATTATTTAAAGATCCATAGTGATCACAGGTTTTTCACTATTTTCTTGATTAGATTTTTTTTAAGGATTTATAACCGATTTTTGGAATTTTCATTTCAAAGTCGATTTTTGGTGGAATATCGCAGATATTCATCATTTCCTTGGTTCAAGAAGATTCTATAGCCAATTTTAGGTTTTTCAATTGAAAATCCATTTTTTATGGAAAATATGAGTGATCGCAGATTTTCACTATTTCCTTGTTTAGTGCGTTATTTAACCTTTTCACGCAAAAGTAAACCTTTGGACACTTTATTATGACGTATATTGATCATTTTTGATGAATAATTGAAAAAGTTTTTTCGAAGGATATCACAGGATATTATCCTTTTTAACATGTAGGTGACATCAAATTCTAAAAAATAACTTATTTTTCCTTGGAAATAATCATTTACTGTAGCTGTGAACTCAAAGTTACTCTCTAAATCAAGAAAGATTAAAAAAAATCTTGGCACACCGGTGTCCCTTATACGTGAAAGAGTAAAGGATCTACCGCCGATTTTAGGTATTTCATATAAAAATCGATTTTTGATTGAAAATATAAATGATCACGGATTTTCACTATTTTCTTGAAAGGCACGTTATTTAAGGAACTACAGCTGATTTAAGAAAATTTTTTCAAACAAAAGTTGATTTTTATAGAAAATATGAGTGATTTTCTTGATTGGGACGTTATTTAAGGAACTACATCCGATTTTAGGTATCTTCTATATGTATAAAAATGAATGTGTGTTTTTCTTGAAATTTTCCCAGTGTACTCCTGTATGTCTGGAAAAGGTTATAGGCGACTTTTAATTTTAAAATGTTAAGTGGGCGAGGAGCCACGCCCATATTAAGCATATATTTTTGAGATAATATAACATTTAGAGTGCTCAAATTTTGTTGGAGCCAATTTAGTGTCAATATGATTATTTAAGACAAAAAGTGGGCGGACTAGCATTAGGAGGCGTGGTACCTCCCATATATAAAGTGAATAGAAAAATTCGTATATCTGAGAAACTATTAGAGCTATAATCTTAAAATTTTACATGAAGAACTTTAACATTCATGTGAACATTTAGGTTAGGTTAGGTTGATAGGAGGATGTATACTACATCAAATCCGAAGAAATACACCTAGGCCACTATCGGGCCTGTTGTGCGCTCCAATTCAAGAAAAAAAAAATTGTTCACTGAATGTATTATTTTTCCATGTTCAGAAACTCAGTTTCCTGGACGTAATTCCTAAGAATCTTCCAATCGGTGTTGGTTAAGAATGTTATTTCCGGAATAACATCACTTCCAAGATACTTTGATCTAACTTCGACGAATGCCTGACAATGGCAAAGAAAGTGCTCCAGAGTTTCACTGTCCTCTCCACATGCTCTACATTCGTCTGAATCCGCACGTCCAATTTTGTATAGATGTGCTCGTAATCCTGTGTGTCCACTCAGAATACGTACCATCATACTAACCTCAGACTTGTTCATTTTGAGAAGATTTCTCGTCTTGGTCTCATCAGGGTCACCCCATAGAATCTTTGTGGTTCTACCCACCGTTTCATTATTCCAAGAGGCCTTATGGAATTCTCTCATCCATATTTTTAATTCAGCTTTTGTTGCGTCGAATGGTTTTGCGTTTGTCAGGTTAACTACATCGAGCTCCCTTCCCTTTAAAGCTATTACAGCTGGGAGGGTATTCAGTTAAAGCTTTCTTACAATCCAATACGGTCTTAGATTTAATTCTATCACCTGATATCGCACGAATTGCCTTCTGGCTGTCGGTAAATATATTAAGCCCTGTGGGCGCCATATTTATTCTAATCCAATTTACACATTCCGTTATTGCTCGTACTTCTGCCTGTGTTATGATTAGGTAAACGGTGGTATATTTCTGTTTCTGGGTCTTCAATATAGAACCCCAGACCCACTTTGTCCCCTAATTTAGAGCATTTGAACATTTAGAGAATAACGGGCGGACTTGTGGGCTTAGCACCTGCCATAGCAAATAAATACAAAATTTCGTATATCTGGAAAAAACTCGATTTTTGATGGAAAATATAAGTGATCACAGATTTTCACTATTTGCTTGATTAGAGCGTTCTTTAAGAATTACCATTGATCTAATGTTTTCCATATAAAATTCCGTTTTTGATGGCAAATATGAATGATCACCGATTTTCAGAATTATCTTGATTAGAGCGATATTTAAAAAAAATATTGATGGGAAATATGAGTGATCAGAGATTTTTCTTTATTTTCTCAATTGGAGCGTTATTTAACGATCTACAACCGATTAAAGGTTCATCAACAAAAATCGATTTCTGACAGAAAATATGAGTGATTTTCACTAATTTCTTGATTGGAGAGTTATTTAAGGACCTACAGCCGATTTTAGGTATTTCATATAAAAATCGATTTTTGTTGGGAAATATTAGTAATCAAAGTTGTTCACTATTTTCTTGATGCGATCGTTATTTAAGGATTTTTTATGGAAATTTTTAGTGATCACCGATTTTCTCTTGATTGGAGTATTCACTATTTTCTTGATTAGAGTGTTATTCAAAGATCTACAGCCGAATTAAGGGTTTTGATATAAAACAATATTTTTATTGAATATATGAGTGATCACAGATTTTCACTATTTTCTTGATTGGAACATTGTTTCCTAAGGAACACTGATTAAAGAAATAAAAGCAGTTTCCAAACATCTCGCGATAATACCTCTATAGAGGTCTTCGCATTCTTTGTCTTTACATTCCTTATGAACATTGATTGGAAAAATCTAAAGAAATACGTTTAGGAAACTAAGAATCTCAACATCGAACTATAATACGTTCATAAAGCACTATATAGAGCTCTCCACAGACCCAATAGCGGCGTCGGTGTGTTTCTTCGATTCTAATGCTTTATACAAACTCCTTTCGACCAAACCTAAGTGATCTGAAATTGTTGCTATTTTCTTAATAGTTAAGGAACTACATCCGATTTTAAGTAAGTAATTGTATGTTGGAGCGTCTGCTCATCTTAGTTACTACATATTACACTTTAAACATTAATATACATTTCCGGCCCATAATCTGTGTTGTGGTTTGATATGCAATAGATAAAAGTATTCAGTTTTCTCTATTTTGGACATTCTATAAACGACGAGGATCACCTTGAGTAAGTACTTTCAGCTAAAATATGTCTACCTCATTTACATGATCAAATTTAAACAAATTTTGGATCATTTTACATAACATTAAACACATAAAATCTCTTTTAACCCTAAATAACGGAAATTCCAATGACATTTGTTACAGTTACATCTAACTACAATTACGAACATTTCCTGTAACGGGAAATATGACTAAAATGACAAATCCTTTAAGATTAACTTTTAGCAAAAAAAACAAAGAAATCATTAAGAAAATCAACATTTAAAATTTCCAGCTAAAACCAAATTAAGCAAACAGAAAGGATTTTCCATTCTTGGCTAATAATATTTAATTAGTTTTTAAGGATTTTTTTAACCAAAACCTTTAACATTTGAGCAGAAATATTTAAGCTAAAATAACACAGATCAAATAAATTTGATAATGTTGAAAACAAGATACGACTAAAAACTAATTGTAAGAAAAACAAGTAATATGGATTTGGAACACTCAAATTACTAAAATTACATAGTTTTAACATACTGTTGGGTTTTTCTAAATCTCAGAGTGAATGAAGTTTGACAGAAAAAAAAAGCGAAACATTTTTGACAACCACGACGTCTTAAATACTTAGCGACGACATAAAAACGTCGTCGTCCAAGAGACAGGATTAAAATTGTATGTTTTAAGTTGCTAATTTTTGAGGACAGTGCCACAGACAGACCAGCCAATATACCAAACTCTGTGTATTTAGGTAGTGGGCGTGACAAATCTCTGTCTGTAGACAGTTAAATAAATGTTATTATACTATGTATGATCGTACACAAGTGCTCAATGTTGTAAAACGTTGAACGCATGTTGTGTTAAGTTTGTGTCTTGTCTAAGTGGTCAAGAAAATT